TCTCGGTTTCTACTGCATGCAGTGCTTGTTGATGTACGAAATAATGTTCGAACGTTGTTTCCAAGAAATAGAAAGCTTTCTGCGCGACGCGTTCGCATCGCGAGAAACCAAAAACCCCCAAATCGTCATCGACAAGTTGCAAAAATTACAACGACTTTACATGTCGTTGCGTCGCAACTATCAACTCAACGAAGAATTTCTCCAACCTGGTGTTCTTCTTCTCTACAGTGTTGATATCTGTTTGTTGATTATAGGATATGGGTACTGGATTCTCATGTTTTTTGAAGGCGAAGTGGTCCTTTTGAAGTTCGACGTTTTCTTGATTATGAAATCAGCGGCGTTCGTTGTGGCTTTCTATTTCTTGTGCTACCAAGTGCAGAAGGTTTCTTCGACGGTTTGTTGGTTTAGGGTATTTTCGCGTTTATGGATGGTTTGTTGCAGGCGGACAACATTCTTTCGTTTTTGTTTCGATGTCGGTTGACCAAAATGAGCCCATTTGAGTCTGCACAAATCGAGATGCTTGTTAATACTTTGATTCTGCAACGACCGACGATGAAAGCGTCTGATATTCTGACGATTGGGACTGGATTAATGGCTACGGTACGGTTTATGGTGTTTTAGAACTGTTTTAATTTTGGTCTAGATTTCAGGGACCGCGCTTACGTATGTACTGGTGGCTTTGCAGTTCACGACTTTGTGGGCTAAATGAAGTAAAATTTTCATTATGTAGCCCTTGTAGTGGATAAATTAAATGTTGTTAGATATTAGAAAAGGGCGACCCTGAAGGGTTGGCCATGACAACAAAATAACAAGACATTGGAATGATTGTAAAAAGTAATTAGCTGTCGTTTGTATTCTGTATTTGCCTTGTTTTTCTTTAAGTTTATTGTAATAACCCAAACATTCCCCCAAAATTTAGACATGCGCACAAAATTTGAAAACCCGCGAAAAATTCGAAAAAGTGGCCATGAACTGTGATCATCATCAAGTGGAGGAACCTTACGTTGTCTGTTAGCAAAATTACACAGAAAGGGTTTGACGTGTTTAAAGGAGACAAGGCGTTTTTTCTTTTTTTTTTCAATTTTTTAAATTTTCAACTTTTAGATATTTTCATTTTTCGTTTCTTCAACTTTTGAATTACAATTTTTCTAGTTTTCATTTCATATGTGCAACTAATAATTATAACTTGAAAAATTGTTCACTTTTTCAATTTTAGGATCTTGTTGTCTATTTTCTTAGAGGATTTGTCATTTGCAAAATCAGACTTACCTTACTAAATACTAGCCCCGCACACCCGCCCTCTCTTTTCTTGGAGGGTATGTTTTGCCACAGTCAGTCTTATCTTACCAAGCACTAGTACCGCCCACCCGCCCTCTATTATCTTACAGGCTATATCATTTGTCAAAATCAGTCTTAACTTAGCAAGTACTAGCCAAGATAAGACCGATTTTGGCAAATGACACTCTATAGGAAAATACATGGTGGGCGGGCGAGCGGGGCTAGTTGTTGATAAGATAAGACTGATTTTGGCACTTTTGTCATGTTTGACTACTTTTCAACTATTTTCGAAAATTTTTGTTTCTGTTTTTTATTTTCTTTCTTTTTTCAAAGTTCCATATTTTATAATTTCTCTTTTTTTTTCAATTTTTTGAATTTTAAACATTTAGATATTTTCATTTTTCGTTCTTCAACTTTTGAATTACAATTTTTCTAGTTTTCATTTCAAATGTACAACTAATAATTATAACTTAAAAAATTGTTCACTTTTTCAATTTTACGATCTTGCCCTCTATTTTCTTAGACGATTTGTCATTTGCCAAAATCATACTTATCTTACTAAGTACTAGCCCCGCCCACCCACCCCCTCTTTTCTTAGAGAGTATGTCATTTGCACAATCAGTCTTGTCTTACCAAGCACTAACCCCGCCCACCCGCCCTCTATTATCTTAGAGGCTATATTGTTTGCAAAAAACAGTCTTATCTTAGCAAGTGCTAGCTAAGATAAGACCGATTTTGGCAAATGACATTCTATAGAAAATTCATGGTGGGCGGACGGGGCTAGTTGTAGATAAGATAAGACTGATTTTGGCACTTTTGACATGTTCGACTACTTTTCAATTATTTTCGAAAATTTTTGTTTCTGTTTTTTATTTTCTTTCTTTTTTCAAAGTTCCATATTTCATAATTTCTCTTTTTTTTCAATTTTTTTAATTTTAAACATTTAGATATTTTCATTTTTCGTTCTTCAACTTTTGAATTACAATTTTTCTAGTTTTCATTTCAAATGTACAACTAATAATTATAACTTAAAAAATTGTTCACTTTTTCAATTTTACGATCTTGCCCTCTATTTTCTTAGACGATTTGTCATTTGCCAAAATCATACTTATCTTACTAAGTACTAGCCCCGCCCACCCACCCCCTCTTTTCTTAGAGAGTATGTCATTTGCACAATCAGTCTTGCCTTACCAAGCACTAACCCCGCCCACCCGCCCTCTATTATCTTAGAGGCTATATTGTTTGCAAAAAACAGTCTTATCTTAGCAAGTGCTAGCTAAGATAAGATCGATTTTGGCAAATGACATTCTATAGAAAATTCATGGTGGGCGGACGGGGCTAGTTGTTGATAAGATAAGACTGATTTTGGCACTTTTGACATGTTCGACTACTTTTCAACTATTTTCGAAAATTTTTGTTTCTGTTTTTTATTTTCTTTCTTTTTTCAAAGTTCCATATTGCATAATTTCTCTTTTTTTTCAATTTTTTAAATTTTAAACATTTAGATATTTTCATTTTTCGTTCTTCAACTTTTGAATTACAATTTTTCTAGTTTTCATTTCAAATGTACAACTAATAATTATAACTTAAAAAATTGTTCACTTTTTCAATTTTACGATCTTGCCCTCTATTTTCTTAGACGATTTGTCATTTGCCAAAATCATACTTATCTTACTAAGTACTAGCCCCGCCCACCCACCCCCTCTTTTCTTAGAGAGTATGTCATTTGCACAATCAGTCTTATCTTACCAAGCACTAACCCCGCCCACCCGCCCTCTATTATCTTAGAGGCTATATTGTTTGCAAAAAACAGTCTTATCTTAGCAAGTGCTAGCTAAGATAATGCCGATTTTGGCAAATGACATTCTATAGAAAATTCATGGTTGGCGGACGGGGCTAGTTGTAGATAAGATAAGACTGATTTTGGCACTTTTGACATGTTCGACTACTTTTCAACTATTTTCGAAAATTTTTGTTTCTGTTTTTTATTTTCTTTCTTTTTTCAAAGTTCCATATTTTATAATTTCTCTTTTTTTTCAATTTTTTAAATTTTAAACATTTAGATATTTTCATTTTTCGTTCTTCAACTTTTGAATTACAATTTTTCTAGTTTTCATTTCAAATGTACAACTAATAATTATAACTTAAAAAATTGTTCACTTTTTCAATTTTATGATCTTGCCCTCTATTTTCTTAGACGATTTGTCATTTGCCAAAATCATACTTATCTTACTAAGTACTAGCCCCGCCCACCCACCCCTCTTTTCTTAGAGAGTATGTCATTTGCACAATCAGTCTTATCTTACCAAGCACTAACCCCGCCCACCCGCCCTCTATTATCTTAGAGGCTATATTGTTTGCAAAAATCAGTCTTATCTTAGCAAGTGCTAGCTAAGATAAGGCCGATTTTGGCAAATGACACTCTATAGGAAAATACATGGTGGGCGGGCGGGCGGGGCTAGTTGTTGATAAGATAAGACTGATTTTGGCACTTTTGTCATGTTTGACTACTTTTCAACTATTTTCGAAAATTTTTGTTTCTGTTTTTTATTTTCTTTCTTTTTTCAAACTTCCATTTTTTATAATTTCTCTTTTTTTTCAATTTTTTAAATTTTAAACATTTAGATATTTTCATTTTTCGTTCTTCAACTTTTGAATTACAATTTTTCTAGTTTTCATTTCAAATGTACAACTAATAATTATAACTTAAAAAATTGTTCACTTTTTCAATTTTACGATCTTGCCCTCTATTTTCTTAGACGATTTGTCATTTGCCAAAATCATACTTATCTTACTAAGTACTAGCCCCGCCCACCCACCCCCTCTTTTCTTAGAGAGTATGTCATTTGCACAATCAGTCTTGCCTTACCAAGCACTAACCCCGCCCACCCGCCCTCTATTATCTTAGAGGCTATATTGTTTGCAAAAAACAGTCTTATCTTAGCAAGTGCTAGCTAAGATAAGACCGATTTTGGCAAATCACATTCTATAGAAAATTCATGGTGGGCGGACGGGGCTAGTTGTTGATAAGATAAGACTGATTTTGGCACTTTTGTCATGTTTGACTACTTTTCAACTATTTTCGAAAATTTTTGTTTCTGTTTTTTATTTTCTTCCTTTTTTCAAACTTCCATATTTTATAATTTCTTTTTTTTTTCAATTTTTTAAATTTTCAACTTTTAGATTTTTTCATTTTTCGTTTTTTCAACTTTTGAATTACAATTTCTCTAGTTTTCATTTCAAATCTACAACTAATAATTATAACTTAAAAATTGTTCACTTTTTAAATTTTAGGATCTTGCCCTCTATTTTCTTAGAGGATTTGTCATTTGCCAAAATTAGTCTTATCTTAGCAAGTACTAGCTAAGATAAGATAGATTTTGGCAAATGACATTCTATAAAAAAATAAAGGGCGGGTGGGCGGGGCTGGTACTTGCTAAGATAAGACTGATTTTGACAAATCACATACCTTGTAAGAAAATACAGGGTCGGTGGGCGGGGTTAGTTTTTAATAAGATAAGACTGATTTTGGCACTTTTGACATACTCGACCACTTTTCAACTATTTTCGAAAACGAGCCAAAAGATTTTCTTGTAGATTTCGATTTCCTGTATTTGCCTTGTTTTTCCTTAAGTTTATTAAAGCTTCTAAATGTCACCAATGGAAATATTAATGAGTATATGCAACCAATTATACACGCTGATGAACCACGCGTAAAAACTATCTATAAAGGGTTTCTTTATTTTTAACTTGATTCTTCCGAAAATATGACGTTCTGGCCTAACCAATATTTTTTTTTTAATTGTTTGTCTAATACATTAATTAATACAACATAAATAAAACAAAAAACTGAGTTTTTGACTACAGTTGTACTTAATTATTATAAATTATTTAATCACTTCACAAAATAGTCTCTAAGCGCATCCAGCGCCCGGTACCTATGCGAAATCTTGTTCTTCTCCGCCTTGGGCATCTCGGCGTACGTCTGTTGGTACCCCACGGGCTGGAAACACGGATCCCAGCCGAAGTCCCTCGGCCCTCTCGGCATCACAATTTCCCCCTGAGTCCTACCCTCGAACAAAATCACGTCGTCGCCCTCGGCCCCCGGATGGTACGCAAAAGTGCAGACGGCCTGCGCCGTCTTGTCTTCAAAGCCGGCCAGCATTTGGTACAGCCCCTCCGGGCCCAACTTGTCGAGGAACCACTTGATGTAGGGGCCAGGCAGCCCCCTCAGGGCGTTGAAGCACAAACATGTGTCTTCGACTATGCAGGGGCCCTTGATGATCTCGTAGGCGGCCTGGCATTTTTTCCTACAGATGTCCTGGATTTCGCCCTGGAGCTCCGGGAGGTCGACTTTCTGGCTGACGACTTGGCGAGGGAAGGTCGAGCCGAGGATGGCGATGACTTCTTCGAGCTTTTTGGCGTTGCCGGTGACGAAAGTTATCGGTTTTGACATGGTTTGTGGGAAAGTGAGGTTATGCCGGGTTGGAAATTGAGGTTATGTTCGTTTCATAACTTTTCGTTCTAGTTTATTTTGTTGGTACCACTACTACACGTGGATTTGGGTCCAATCCAAAGTACGAATCCAATGGTTCGTTGACCATATCGGTACCAAATTTTACACTTATTAAAATATGTTTGTGAATTAAAAAACCAAAGTCGATTTTGAAAGCAAACAAATTTGAGGTTATGGTAAGAACAAACTTGACGTCCACTCCATACATTTATATATATTTTTTTTAGATAAACGACCATGTCGCTACTAAAATACTCGAAGAAGCTCGCGTATATGAAGCCTTCCCCGAACAATGTCCACCGCTGTAAGGTTTGTCCGTATTTCACAACCTCGTTTTTGCTTATGGTGAACCACGTTAAACACCACCGAGCGCCCCCACAATATTTCAACTGTGAAAATATCAACGTCGAAACTTACCACTGTGAGGACTGCAATTTCCAGACAGAACTAACACTTCTTTTCAAGCAGCACGCCCGACAGTGCTACAGGAAGTCTGAAGAGAATTTACCAGAGCAAGTTTACTCAAGTCAGAGTTTCATTTGCAAGAAGTGCAGTTTCGAAACACATTTCTTGCTTAAATGGCTTCAGCACGGTACGCAGTGTTTGGGGAGCAATAACTTTCAAATAGTAGCAACTAATGATAAAATTACCACATGGTATCACTGCAACCAGTGTGAATGCAGATTCAAAAGGAAACAAAACTTGAAGGCTCACAAAATTTTAAAACACTTGAGTGATGATCAACGTAGGTGGTACTATTGTGGACATTGCTCCTATAAAACCATTCTGAAATCGCGTTTAAAAGTACATGTGATGAGGCATATGAACAAACCAAAGAGACGGGTTTCTTTAAAAACTCCCGGGGTTATGCAGTATGTGGATGAGCAGAGTATTAAATGGTATAAATGTGAAAAATGTCCACATAAATCTAAAATTAAGGGGAATTTAATGAAGCATATAAATTCGTGGCACTTAAATGAGAAGGATATTACATGGCATGAATGCCAGACTTGTCCCTACAGAGGAAAAAATTTGTTGGCTTTAAAGAGACACATTATTGTTCATCATTTGAAAGATGAGGATGTTCCATGGCACAAATGCCAAAACTGTCAATATAAGACTAAATATCATACAGTATTAAAAGAACATATAAATGCGCAGCATTTAGACGAACGAGATATTAAGTGGCACGAATGTGAAGACTGTTCGTATAAAACCAAATACAAAGGCAACTTGTCACGTCACAAACGTCTATCACACAAAACTGAAAACGTTAAGTGGTATGAATGTGAAAAATGTCCATTCAAAACGAAGCATAACGACAATTTAAAAAAGCACATCAACTTCGTACACATCAACGAAGCGAATATTAAATGGCATAGATGTAAAAATTGTTCATTCAAAACCAAGTATAACATGAGCTTACGAAAACATGTAAAACTACTTCACAAAAATGAAGCAGATATTAAATGGTACGAATGCCAAATTTGCTATTTTAAAACTAAACATGTGGGGTCTTTCAAAACTCACCTAATTACACAACACGGTTGCGAAAATAATATTAAATGGTTTAAATGTGACCATTGTCCACATAAAACTAAAAGCAAGACGCATTTAAAAATACATATAAATTCTCACCATTTAAATCCACAAGATATAGAATGGTGCCGATGTACCAAGTGTCCATATAAAAGTAAAGTCTTATCATCGCTAAATAGGCACATGAAAGTACGCCACGTGGACGAAAAAGACATTGAGTGGTATAAATGTAATAAATGTGAATACAAATCAAAACAAAAATCTGGCTTGAAAATTCATATCATTAGACGACATACAAATCCACGCGATATTAAATGGTACGAATGTAAACTTTGCCCCTACAAAACCAAATGTAACGGTAATTTAAAGCGTCACACGAACACACGCCACGTAAATGACGAAGATATTAAATGGTATAAATGTGAAAAATGTTCTTTCCAAACAAAACTAGCGCCATGTTTAAAGTATCACATGATGGTACACTCAGACGAAAGTGACATTAAATGGCACCAATGCAATACGTGTTCTTACAAAGCTAAAAGAAAATTTGCTTTAGAACAACACATAAATGGACGTCATTTAGACGAACAATTTGTTAAATGGTATGAATGCGAAAAGTGTCCATTCAAAGCTAAATGGCGGACTACTTTAAAAGCTCACATTGTCAATTACCACGTCGACGAACAAAGTATTAAGTGGTTCGAATGCTACAACTGTCCATACAAAGCTAAAACAAAAGGCGCGTTGAAGAGTCATATAAATTCTCTGCATTTGGACGAAGAAGCCATTGAATGGTATAAATGTGAACAGTGTCCACACAAAGTTAAAACCAAGTCAAAGTTAAGAATTCATGTACTTAGGCATCATGTGGACGGACGAGGGCTTAAATCGTTCGAGTGCAAAGAGTGTTCTTGCAGAATTAACGGCAGGGAGAATCTTAAACGCCACATGAGGTTAGAACACGGGGATGGAAAAGAGATTGTGTGGTATGAATGTGAAAAATGTCCATACAGAAGCGATGGGAGAGCGAATTTAAGACGTCATGAACGCAAAACACATAAAGAAAGTGTTTAATGTGTATAACATTAATTTATTGCAAATATTGTCATTTTGTACGATTTTTTGGAAAGTTTTATAATGACTCGCTAAAAATGAAGTCATTTTTTTTTAGTGACAGTAATTATTTGTTACTTTAATAGTGCTAGGTTTCATACAGGTTACGAAACCCACTTACAGAAACAGAAAATAAACAAACTTAAATCTGAGAATGTGTATGATTTAATAAATAACTTAAATGAAGAATATAATATATATAATAAAACTTCCTCTCTACGAAAAATAATAATATAAAATATAAACAGATTTTTTTTTTAGTGTCAATCTTTGGTTTTTTCGAAATTCGATGAACTTTATCGATATTTCGATGTTTGGTCTTTTCCTTGAAATCTGCCATTGAATCTTCAATTTTTCTTTTTTTTAATTTTAGGATTTTTCAGTTTTACACTTTTTCGGGTTTTTTGTTTTAGTTTGTAGTTTCTGGATTTTTGGTTGTTCGATTCTTCAATGTTTGAATTTCTGATTTTCAAACTTCTGAATTTTTCAGTTTAGAATTTCTCGGGTTCATTTTCATTTCTTCGATTTTTATTTTGCAATTTTTAGATATCTTAATTTTTCGATTAATTGCATTTTTCCTTTTTCCAATTTTCGATTTTTTTACTTTTGAATTTATCCACTTTTCGGATTTGTTAATTTTTCGCTTCTTCACCATTCTGGAAGTTTTCGAGTTTGAAATCATATTTTTAAATTCAATATGTAGATGTTTCTATTTCTCGATTTTTAATTTTTCAATTTTCTTAGTCTTTTTTTAATTTTCGGATCCAGTTTTACAATTTTTCGTTTCTTCAAGTTTTGATTGTTTCAGTTTTTAGTTTCTCAAATTTTCAATTTCACGATTTTTGATTTTTCAGTTTTTGCATGTTTAACTTTTGAATGTTTCGTTTCTAGGATTTATTTTTTCGATTTATCAGTAATTTGATTTTTTAAATTTTGAATTTTTCAATTTGTCATTTTTTTCAATCCTTCGAATTGCAATTTTTAAATTTTACAATTTCGAATTTTACGATTTTCGATTCCTCAATTTTAAAATTTTTCGATTTTCCAATAGAGATTTTTCACTGCTTCACTTTAACAAATTTTCGTTTCTTCACTTTTTGATATTCCTTTTTTTTCAGTTTATCGATTTTTAATTTTCTACTCTTTCAATTATTCAACTTATCGAATTTGCAGTTTTTCAATTTTTTGATTTTGCAATTTTTCCATTTCGGATTTTAAATTTTACAGATTCTGATCTAATAATAATAATTTAGCAGCTGCCAAGAACAGACTGATCTTGGCAAATGAGATATCCTCTAAGAAAACAAAGGGTGGGTGGGCGGGGCCAGTACCTGTTAGGATAAGACTGATTAAACCGAGCTCAATAACAAACAACGAAACGAAAATCTGAAAATTTCGTATGAAAAGTAAAGGTCGATTTATAAACTTACCGCTGACGTTGCTGTTCGCCGTTACGTTGCCGTTGACGTTGGGTTTTCAACCAATCAAATTGCGGTGGTGCAGTGCTGCTTTGTTACTGAAATAATGATGGAAGCTTTATTGTTAATACTTAAAAAAGTTTACAAACGTCCAGAATAATTTTACATACAATTAGTGTAATAAACAAAATAACATTATAAAGCAATAAATAAAATATTTATGTTAACTAAAAGTTTCATTACGTATTTTAAGCCTAAATTCATCAATAGAATAGAATGCATTTTTAAGAAGAATGGCTTTGATAATATTTTTAAAAGATGAATACTCTAATATTTTAATGCATTCTGGCAATTCATTGTATAAACGAACACAGAAATAATTGCTACTATTTTGTGTGCGGTTTAGTCGAAGAAACTCGGGTCTTAATAAATGACGGTTTCTGGTGGCATATGTATGTTTAGCACAGTCATAATCAGTCCTGTTCTGGTAGACAAATAATAGACACTGGAAAATATATACAGATGGTAGTGTTAGGATCTTTAGTTTGATGAAGGCAGGGCGACAGTCATCACGATAACCTAAATGGTCTAGTAACCTTAAACATTTTCTTTGAAAAGCAAATAGCTTCTTAATATGTGGCGAATGGCCCCATATTAATGTGCCATAAGTGAGAACGCTATGAACAACAGAGTGATATGTTGTTAACGCTGCACTTTGAGAGACACAAGTTAATATTTCTCTCAAGAGAAACAATTTACTAGATAATTTCTTTACTACTTGTGTTATGTGTGATTCCCAGGTCATTTTGCGATCCAGTAAAAGCCCAAGAAATTTCGCAGGTGTTTCAGTAGGGTTATTGATTTCCCTAAGCGAAAAAATTACTTCCTGAGTTTTGTTACTGTTCGATACTAGTTTGTTCGCTGCGAACCAACCACTGATTTGATTCGTCACATGGTTTTTAGCAGATTCGAGTAAGGTCAATACACTATGTTGGCCTATGACAGTTGTATCATCAGCAAACAGGATTACTTGATTACTAGTTGAATTTGGTAGATCGTTAATATAAATAAGAAACAGTATAGGTCCTAGGACCGAACCCTGTGGTACACCTTGTTCAATAGTTTTTATTAATGATTTATCGTTTTTAATACAAACATATTGTTGGCGATTTGATAGATAAGATTGTAACATATTAGTACTTTGAATGCCAAATTTATAATGATTCAATTTCTCTATTAGTATGTTATGCGAAACAACATCAAAAGCCTTTGTTAAATCAAAGAAACACGCAAAAGCATAACATTTAGCCTCAAATGCATTTAATACATGCTGACACAAAGAATTTACTGCTAACGTGGTGGATAAATTGTTACGAAATCCATACTGACTAGAAGAAAAAATGTTATTCGTTTCAAGATAGTCGGCCATTTGTTTTTTCAATAATATTTCAAAAATTTTCCCAAGGATAGGTACGATTGTTATTGGGCGGAAATTATTTATATTGCTGGGATCCCCTTTTTTAAAAACTGGTGTGACTTTGCCAAGTTTTAACACATTCGGAAATATGCTATCATTAATACATTTATTTATTATTTTAGTTAACGGTAATGTAATTATATTAACAACTTTTTTAATCATAAGGGCATTAATTCCATAAGCATCTAAACTAGGACTATTTTTTAACGACATAATTGCATCCCTAACATTTATATATGTCACTTCCTTAAAATTAAATATTTTATCAATTTTATCAGTAATAGGTAGATAGTCAGTAAAATTGCAACTTGATGGTTTCTGTTGATTTAATAGTTGATTCGGGACATTAATAAAATAGTCATTAAATTCATTAGCAGATAAATTCGTGTTCCTGGTACTTTTCTTTGTGTTTCTGTAAGAATTGATAATGTTCCACATCACTCTTTCTTTGCTACGTGAAGAATTTATAATATGTTCATAAGCAGATATTTTGGCTTTAGACAACTCAGTCCTGTAAATTTTTTTAAAAGCATTATAATAAGAGGCATCAATTTGTTTAAGTAAGGTCAGTTCATGCAGTAACTGGAGAGTATTTCTCATCTTCTTTAAATTATTATTGAACCAACTAATATATCGATTATTATGACTATTAATATATTTAACAGGGAAACAATTTTCCGTTGCTTCAGATATTATGTTCTGAAAGAAATCCATGATTTCACTTGAGTTTAATGAGCTGTTATCAATAAAGCTCCATTCAACATTATTGAGGCAATTAAAAAATGTATTTAGTCCATTTGTAGTGATAGGCCTGTAAGATACTAACTTATCTTCCGATGACATTTGACTAATATTATTAGACAGTGGTACGCAAAAGGTTATGCATACTCCCGAGTGATCTGCTATATTAGGATTGTGTACAGATGTTTGGAAATTTTCTTTTAACAAATTTGTAAAGATATTATCTAGACAGTTCTTTTGCCTTGTTGGGCTAAATATAGTTTGGTATAAACCAAAAGAAAGAAGTAGATTCACTAAAAGTTGAGTTTTCTTCTGAGGAGTATTAAATATTACATTAAAGTCTCCCATTAATATAATAAAATACTTCACTTTAATTAATCGTGATAACAATTTATCCAGGTTTCTTAGAAAAACATCAAAATTACCATCAGATGTCCTATATACTGCTATAATAATAATTTTACCATATTTAATGGCTGCTAATTCACAATCAAGATCCTGACAGTATTCATCTAAATCTAAACAACAAACCGGAGTAAAAGAATTTCTTGTTAGTATACATACGCCACCGTGACTGACACTTTTCCGGCAGTAACTAGCTGCAAGAGAGTAACCTCCAATGTTCATAATTTCCAATTCACCACGCGTCATCCAGTGTTCATTTATACAGAGAACGTCAATGGGACCATCATCTTCAAGAAAAGCTTCTGTATCTAAAATTTTATTTTTTAAGCACTGTACATTAATATTATATACATTAATTAATTGAGGCATTACACTGAAGTTGCCTCTGTCGTCGGAATTTTCCCTAAAAAATTATTTCTAGGAAAGTTGAAACGTCTCACACAAACTCCTTGTGGCCAAAAGTCCTCTTTGAGTAAATCATCCTTAAATCTGAAATTTACGCCCACTTTGTAAGCATCATATGTTGTACCCTGAAGATTAAGATTATCAACGATGACATCTTCCGAAGAAAGCTTACTGGCTATATATGACTTGATAACGGTCGTATCGACGTTTTTGTTAACCTTCCCTACGTAGTACCAGGCCCTTTTGACATAATTGGAGCAAAAACCCAAATTATCATTCACCTGTAGCGTACCAGTTATTGTGGACGCACGCTGTTTTCGATTTTGACGTGGTTTTTGTACACGTCCTGAATTTTCCTTTGAGTTATTATCATTGGTATTGTTAGTTGGCAAGACTTCTTTACGCAATATTTTCAGATCACGACGGTTTCGGCGTGTCCTTTGTTCAGTCCAAGGATTTTCAATTAGATCACAGGACTTACTTTCTTCATCCGATGATTCGCACGTACTCGGCTGTTGTTGGCACG